GTATAATTGTAATTTAGTGGTTTACTGTATAACTCTGATTAGTGGTCTATCTTAAGTTAGTTAGTATTTGACGGTTGTATTTCTTGACTGCTTTGCATTATTGTTTGCATATCAATCAAAATGAATCAAGATTAAATAATTGAACAGGAAAGAGTGAAAGACCAATAATCAAATTTGACATTAAAATTTAGGTTTTCTAAGCTACCACACTATATAACATAGTTGTCCACTACGTTTTGTATTATTATAGTTATAATTCCCCTTAATGAGTATATAATTGTATAATTGTAAGTTAGTGGTAATAGTATATAATATGGGTTCATTTTATTTAATTTTCTAGTAGTTAAAAATTAATGGGTTGCTACTGAAATTTGATTATATGAGTTTATTAGCGTTTATAGAAAAATAATATGGGATTAATGACTTTTCACTCTCTATTCTATTTGTTGGTTTCACTATTAAGTGTACATCTCAATGTAATGGGTTTTCGACTCTTAACTAGAGTGTAAAAAGTACCTAAATGTGTTAGCATTGATAGGGACAATTATTTGTTATAAGGCTGAAATGTGTTGTTTTGATCCTGTTTTTTCAGCAATGGATCAAGGGTATGAAAATTATGATGAGGACAGACAAGATTATTTAGAAACTTCATATTCTCAAAACACTATTCAGAATCAAGATTCTTCTCAGCAACAAGTCACTACCACTAGTGGTAGTAAGCGTGGACGAACATCAAATGTGTGGAGGCATTACACCTTTTTTGATAAGAGTGTTGGTCTTGCTCCGATAAGATATGCGCGATGCAATGTTTGCGGTAATGAATATAAAGCACCAGGTAAGGCTGGTACTTCCACTTGTAAAGCTCATACTAAGGCATGCATGGGTAAAAATATACATCATCCTGCAAATCTTGAAAGTGTTGTTGATCCTACGTTTAATCAAACTCGTCATTTACAATTGCTTGCTAGAGCTATAATTTTGCATTCCTATCCTTTAAATATTGTGGAGCATCATGGCCTTAGGGAAGTTTTTACGAGTCTGAATCCTAATGTGAAGCATGTGTGTAGAAACACTATGTTGAAATATTGTATTGCTGAGCATGATAAGTTTAAGTCCTTGTTGTTGCAATCTTTTTCTGGAATTGAAGGTAGAGTTAGCTTCACTTGTGACTTGTGGAAAGCATGCACTAATCGAGGTTATCTCACTTTGACTGCACATTATGTTGATAAAAATTGGTGTCTAAGGTCTAAAATTCTGAATTTTAGATATTGTGGTCCTCCTCATACTGGTGCTGAGATAGAAAAATTTGTGTTTAAACTTATTGGGGAGTGGAACCTTCAGGGTAAATCTTTTGCAATTACTGTTGATAATGCTCGATCTATGGATGTTATGGTTAAACTTTTGAAAAAAAAATTAATGTTGACTTCTCCTTTTCCTTGTAATGGTAAATTTTTTCATATTCGATGTTCAGCTCATGTCTTGAACATTATTGTTCAAAGAGGTTTGAAAGAAGTTGATAGTAGTGTTCAAAAATTGCGTGAGGTTTGTAAATATATTGATTCTTCGGACTCTAGACTTACTCAATTTGAGAATGCTCTTTCTGAGGTTAACTGTCTATTTAACGGTAAGTTACGTCTTGATGTTGTGACTCGTTGGAATGCCACCTATACGATGCTCCGAAAAGCTTTAGAAGCAAAGGAAGCCTTGAAAGTGGTTATCGATAAGTATATGGGTTATGAATTCAAACTTTCGGATGATGAATGGGATACCCTTGCAAAAATATGTCATTTCCTAAAGCCATTTTATGAAATCACTATGTTATTTTCTGGTTCTGAATATCCTACCGCAAATTTGTATTTTGCTAGTGTTTTGAAAATTGAGCACACAATAACTAAAGCCCATATAGACCCTAAACTTGCACCCATGGCAAAAGTTATGCTTGAAAAGTTTGAGGGCTATTGGGATGACTATAGTTTGATCCTTTCAATAGCTATTGTTCTTGATCCTCGCTATAAGCTTTTTCGATTGACGAATATGTTGAAAGTGCTTTATGTTGAGTAGGCATGTGTTGAAAAGGCGAAGGTGATTAAAGATGCTCTTTTGGAGTTGTATAACTTTTATTCTTCTATGTGTTCCGGTTTTAAGTCAAGTACAATTGTTCCCCCTCCATCCCTATTGGGGTTGATAAATCAAATAGTCTCTTGGATGATGATGATATATTCAAGGTAATCATTTTCTGTTTATTGTGGTTTACTAAAATAATAATTGTATGTCTTAATTTTTATTATTTAATAAAAGCATATTTTTTGCACTTTCCTAGGATGTTGATGTTGATGATAGCCTAAATCGACCATCGATGGAGATTGATAATTATTTGAATACTCCTCGTCAACCATCAATTGAAGGGCAGAATTATGATGTTCTCAAGTATTGGGAATCTCAAATTAATGTGTACCCCATATTAGCTATTATGGCTAGGGATGTTTTGGCCATTCCTATTACATCGGTAGCCTCTTAGTCTTCTTTTAGCATGGGTGGTCGTATTTTAAACAAGTATAGGAGTGCACTTTTGCCTAAGAATGTTGAGGCGTTGGTTACCACACAAAATTGGTTACGTGGTTATGATTGTGATATTGAAGAAGACATCCTTGAAATTGGTAAAGAGGTGATAGATGAAAGTTTTGCATCTAATTAGAAAGGTATGGATGTTGCTATTTTACTGATGCTTAATTTATATTGTGTTGCTTAATTCAAGCTTTCTTGTTTTTTTTTTTTTTGTGAGAAAAGTGTAGCTTCATTTCTTACACTAATGATAAGTATAGGGTGCTGCTACTGCTGACTGCTTCTTCTCCTTACTGTTGTTCTGCTGACTTGTTGTTCTGCTGTTGTTCTTCCATTCTGCTGCTGCTCTTCTTCCATTTTGCTGTTCTGCTGCTCTTCTTCCATTCTGTTGTTCTGCTGCTCTTCTTCCATCGCTGCAGTTCTGCCATTCTGCTGCTGCAGTCTGCAGTGCTACTGATCTGCCATTCTGTTGCAAACTGTGGTGCTGGTATTAATCTTGTTATGCTAAAAACTTGTACAATTCTGTTGTTAAAATTTGTTTGTATGGATTGGTTGGTTTGATTTTGTTACTTTGTTGTTAAAAATTGTTTAATTATGTGTATGGATTGGATTGGTTTGTTTTGGTTTTGTTAAGTTGAAACTTGTTGAATTAGAAGTTTTATAACTTGTTAATGCTATTAATCCTATTATGCTACTGGAATACTGCTATGTTGATGAATAAGGCCCAAAAGGCCAAAAAATTGTAGGTTATTGCCCAAAAAACCAAAATTGCAGATTATTCCCCAAAAACCAAATTAAAGTCAATACTCACGGATTAGCTAACGAAGTGCTATTTCTAAGGGAATTTAGTATTAACTAAGTTACTAAGATATATACAATTAATATGATAAGTATATGGTCTCAAGAAAAATTGATAAGTATGGAATATATGCTAAATATATTTTAAGATTTCTAATACTTAATCCATATAATTACATAAAAAAGTGCACCAAAAAAAAATTATTATTACATACAAAAAAATCTTGTAAACGGTTCGATTTATAAGCGGTTTGGTTCATAAACGGTTCGGTTTATAAGCAGTTCGGTTCATAAACGGTTCGGTTCATAAACGGTTCGGTTTATAAGCAGTTCGGTTTACAATCAGTTCGGTTTTTAAATGGTTTGGTGCAAACGGGTAGCAGTTTGCTAACAGTTCGGTGTAAGCGGTTTTTATGCCAGTTCAAACGGTTTCGGGTCGAAATCGGTTTCGGGTTAGATACGGTTCGGTTCTTTTTCGGTTCGGTTTTCTTTCAGTTCGGTTTATATTTGGTTCGGTTTGTTAACATGTTCAGTTCTTAAACGGTTTAACATTACTCGGATTGGTTCGGTTTCGGGTTTACTAAAATACGGTTCGGGTCGGTTTTCGGTTTCAAAGAAACGGTTTTTAATCGGTTCGGTTCTCATTTGAATCGGTTGGATTCGGGCAGTTAAACGGTTTCGGTTTGAAATTTGACAGCACTATAAGCTACACATATCTCTAATATGAGGGCCACGAGAAAAAAAATTGGCCTAGCTTGGCTCAAATGTTGCACATCGAATTTTAAAGTAATGAGTTTGTGGTCCATAATAACCTAGGAATAATGTAAAAAATAAATTAAATTTTTTTTTTTAAAAAAAAAAAACAACAGTAATACGAAAAGTCAAAACTTACCAAGATATTATATACTTAATTAAAAAGTGCATGCTAAGAAAGTCACCCTACCTCAGAGTGAAAAATTAAATCTTGCGTAAATTATAAGCTATTTTTGAAAAGTTACAATTTGTTAAGTTACACCACCATCATTTATTGGTTAAAAAGTTCCCAAACTATGTAACAAATTGAATAAACAAGAATGGAATGAAATGAAACCAAACCTGGCACTGATCGAGAAAATCAACAACATCACGTTCCAAGTTGTCATCAAAAGATTCACCCAAAAGTGCAAGTGAATGAAGGATCCAATAGCAAAGTCATGGTAGACTGCACAACAAAGGTATTATCTTTTAAAACTTTCCATAAATGGGGCCATTGGATGAGATTGTGGGATGTGGAAGAAGGATGATGAAGGTTTGAGTTAGTTCTCATAGGCAGATTTAGTAGAAACTACGAAAAAAAAAAAATTATCAAAAGAGCGGTATTAAATGTAGATGCAAGTTTAAATATGCTAGGTGAAAAACTTTTAAAATAATAATGTTGATGTGTTTAATATAGTGTGCATTTGCAGCTATCAATAGTTGGCAAAATTATTAACAGGTTAATTAAGTGTGGTTAAATCTCGTAATGACAATACGTAATACCTAATATAACCATTTAATTAATTAAAGTGGAGGAAAGTTGTTTAAAAAATAATCATTGTTTTAAACAAAAATTAGTACATGACTAATTTTTTATTTGGAGAATTTGTTTTGATAATTGAGTTAATAAATTTGATATATAAATTGTGTACTCATTGATCGGTAAAACGTGAACTAATATAAAAAATATTAGGAATAAGGCTAATTGACAAATCCAAAAATATTGAATAAATAATTACAATATTTAGTAGGTTACATGTGTTTAGATAGAGTAAATTATCAACAAAAAAAAGTGGAATAGTAGAAAAAATTAATCAAGGTTTCTGAAATGGGAGTATTAAATACCACCAACAAAAATGATCAAAATCACCGATATTTAGTGTGAATGGACAACAGTGCACTTAGAACTTCACCATTATATCCCTTCTTGCCACCAATCACAAACATCTTGACACCACCACTTGACATCAATTATGTACAACCAGATTTATGTAGGAACATTTGGCATCAATTAAGTGACGTATAGACGTGCCCCCATACCCGTGTTAAAATATCGGACATATTTCCCGTGTCTTAAAATTTTGGAACTTGCTGGATCGGACACTTGGACATGTCTTTATGTCCGACACCCGTTCGCGAGTCCATGTTTTAGTTAGACGTTGAAGAGCTTCTCTGTCATTCCGAAGATCAATACCCTCATTCTTCTTCAAAGTTTCTGCTAGCCATCTACCATTCTCTGCAGTAGCAATTACAAAAATTGTATCATTTCATTGCAAAACAGTAAAGAACCGATTCAAGCCAACACATCATTAGGCACACCGATTCCTTGTTCCTACCTAATCGAAGTCATCACCTCTTAAATGAGTGTCACCTGATGTAGATAACACCTCGAAAACTCCGTCTCCAACCTCAAGAACTGCAAAAGGCAGAAAAAGCTGCAATGTAAGATAATCTGATATACTGCATCAAAAAGTAGACTGTACTAATGCAGAATACTGATAAATGCATAGAATTTCTCACAATTGGAGTCTTTCTTTCTGAAGAACTCACCCGAAACATCAAAAGTACCAACTCCAAGATCGAAAACCAAAATCGTCTCGTTATTCTTCTTCTCAAACCCATATGCTAATGAAGCAACAATAGGGAAGCATTCAATCTACCCCATTAAATAAATCTAACAATTTAGCATTCTAAAGAGTGTAAATTCAATCTCATAAACAGTTGGATGTCTGAGATGCTAGTCTTTGAGTCAGCTACTCGATAATTTGTTAGTATATTCAACAACAAATGTCTTTTCAGAAGCATGTTTTACTTCCTACAGCCTATATCCAGAGAAACTTATCTACATACCTACAAATAAATGAAGAATGTTAGTCTCACAGCTCATATACCTGCAAAGCAATGTATAGAAGACCAAATGAACATTCAAACACTTGAATTTAAGAGAAACTCATAAGCTACTGAAATCACTCATTTGGTGATATGAGATCTTATATTGCACTAATCAAACAACACATTGTAGGGAATATTTCAAGCATTACCCCTAGCTTGAACCCCACTGTGATCATACACTTAAGTACGGTGGCGTCCAAAGGGAAAGAAGATAGAGCAAAAGAGTCGCCAACAAGTTTTAGGAACTTGTAAACCGTTCACGAGATGAAGGTTACACCCCTTAACGAACCAAGAGATCGTCAACTCCAATAGGTCTGGAACCATGACTGGTAGTTCGGGGATGAAGGTACAAATCCAACCTAAAAGAGATTGAACCTGCCCTAATAATAGGCCTTTACTTTATTCTGATCGTATTCATGTGCGCTTTCTGACTAACATGCAAGCAATAGGTTTACCCTAAACCTGTTTAATCTATGTTGGTTGAATATTAATGCACAAATAAATCTATTATTGGCGATCACTTGAATTATAATCAAATTAACCCTAAACAAGATTATTAATTATCTTATTAAGCGTGATTACAAGTACAAATTTCCTTTAAACATGTATAAAAGGTGTGATCAAGCAATAACAATAAATATATTCAAGCAACATAATAATAATCATCACAATCATAATTAAAATAATCATGTTCATGTTAAAGCATTATAATAGCAAGATCCTAGGCATGATACTAACAAGATTAATAAAAAACCCTAGCATGTCACTAAGCAATAAAAATCAAATTTTTAACCCTAACATGATACTAGCATGAATATTAGGAAAAGCAATAAAAGGCATCATAGAAATCATAATTGATTTATAAAACTTATTCTTTAACCTAGACATGATACTAGGTACTTATTGTTGTCACCCTAAACATCAAATTAAGAAAAGCATCCTAACATGATACTAGGAATCAAAATAGGAACCTAAACATGATTTCTATATCATAATATCAATAAAACAATTAAAGCACTTACTTGGATGCCTCATATCTCTTTCTAATAACAAAATACACGCGTTAGTAACTTCAAGGAAAACAATAAACAACAACTAAATTAAATAATTGAAAGAGAGATTTGGTACCAAACCCTCAGAAATTAAAACCTTTCACATCTAGGGCGAAGACAACTTCGAATAATGCTAAGTGTATTTAGGTCTTGTGAGTGCGGAATTATGTTTGAAGGGTGGTAGGTTTAGAAAAGAGAGAAAGAAAGCTTCTAGCTTAGAGAGAGAAAGAATTAGAAAGTTAATGATTCTAGATGATTGAAAATGGAGTTTTTAGAAGGCTATTTATAGAGAAAATCAGCCAAAAAGACATAAAATCGAACCAGAGTTCTGACGCGAAAAAACAAAGTTAGCGCCAGACGCTGACATTAGCGTCAGGCGCTAATGTCTAACGTTAGGCGCTAACCATATTTTTGACGCGTTTTCTAAAATCAGATAAAATTTAACCGTACAGGAGGATAAAATTGTATTTTCCTCAAAAACACTCTTTTATTCTGATTAAAATTCTAAAAAGTCAACAAAAATAAATTTATCAATGCTAATTGAATTAGGAATGAAAAGAACCTTCTGGAAGAATCTAGAAGACTAAAACCATTCCTAATTGCATTAGGAATGATAAATCCGTATTAGGCCCTCCCCTTGATCATTGGGCCGCATATAAGGTTCAATCCGGGCCCAGTTTAGTAAATTGGCCATAACTTCCTCATTATTCATCGAAATTGGGCTTATAATATATCGTTGGAAAGCGCTTTTCAAGCCCTGTCCAACTACACTATTAACGGACCTATATCATGGACCAAACCAACTGGATTGACTGTTTTCTTAAAATAGATTTTCAAAAACAGAGAGAAAAGAAAAGAAATTAAAACTATCCGCAACACTAGACTTTCGACACTTTCACTTCATTCGATTATGATTCGACGTGAAAGGCACTCATCACCTGGTTTGGTTTTGGGGAGACACAAATGGGTGTCTACACACATTATCTTAGTTGAATTATGAAAATACATAGTGAGCTGAAAGGGATCTATTGACAAGTACAGAAATCTTGTTAGAACATACAAGTTTTGACAGGGATAAGAATGTTCTTTGAGTTGTATTCTTACTATAGATGATTCTGTAGATGACGATCATTCTCTCTCTAATAATCACTTTGGTTGTTTCAAATTTTTTTTCTCCAACCATGCAATTTCTCAGTATATTGTATGACAACCATGATCGTCATTTTTTCTTTTATCTTTATAATAATACAATACAAGACTCATAATATAATAAATTATAAAATCACTCGTGTAATCAATCAAAACTTCACCATTATAACTATTTTCCTATCTCCCTCTACCCCTTCCATTCCCTCATCCGATTCCTATGCCTTACTCCCAATTAATTGCTCCCTATTCTTAACTCCCTTTCACTGTTCTATTTATGGTCTTGAAAATTTAGTTCGCCCCACTTGCTCCCTCACCCCTTCTTAAATCCTTATTTCTATCCCAGCTCTCATTTATCTTATTTATTCATGCATAATTAAGAAAGTCTCTTTCTAATTGCCTATACTTTTATCATGTCATTAAAAGCCAAAAATTATTATATTTTATAATGGCCTCCTAACGAAAGATGTAATCTTCTAGCCTCTTATCTGCCTTGCATAATTGATCTTTGCCTATCATCTTAGCCTCGCCTAATCACCCTTTTCACCCCTTTTCCATATTCCCCTCTCATTCCGTCATTTTATCCCTTTCTCTTCTCCATATTATTCTCTCCATACCTCCTTTTGTTGGTGGTTTTAACCTTTTTAGTAAACCTCATCCTACTTACCCCACCTTCTCAATATCTCTCATCTTCACGACATAATATCTCTCTGAACCTCCACCCCCCCTTTTGCATTTCCTCGGTCCCATTCTCTCCGTTGTCACTTCATGCTCCTTATTCTTCTCTCCTCACTTTTTTTATGGTTTTGGAAATTTAAGTAAGCCTAGTCTTACTTTCTTCACCATCTCTATCTCACTCATTTTCATCCTTTTTACCTCCTCCACCTCTTCACATTTCATAGAGAGGCTTTAATAAGAAGCTTACATACTACATACTTCCTCCGTTTTATTAATATTACACCACTTGCCTTTTAAGGAAGTTTTACAAATATTGCACCATTTTCATTTTAGGACAAATATTATCTTTGTTCACACTACAAAAACCCAACATACCCTTACTTTTTGACCTTTATTCTTTAGTTTTTGTTTACATCACATGGACACTTTTGTATTTTTACATTTCTCTCTCTTCCTTTTCCCACAACCAAAATTATTGTGCCCAACTTGTATGGTGCAATAATAAAAAACAGAGGAAGTATATTTTATGGCGTACTGTTAAATTTTGGCAAGGAAGGAAATTGTATTATATACATTATTTATAAATGCGTAGGTTAAATTTGAAGGCATGTAAATTGGATTAAATTTACCATAAGCTTTTAAACTGAGTGCCCTAAGCATCGAAATTAACACGCATTTTGGCTCTGTTCTTCACAAAGGAAGTGAAAGAATGTTTCTGGGTTTAAAGCTTGATTTTCACTTCCTTATTTTTATCCCTGCGTTCATTTATCTTAGTTTGTCTCAACATAAAATGCTACTAAGCCAAAAAAATCAAATTCGAAGCTTTATTTACCTAGTTCTAATAAAGTCGAGGCATTTCGAATTGTGTTATGATACATGAAAAGTCAGGGGGAGCTACTAGCCTTTTGCACTCCTGATCTTCAAAATCTCAACAAATAAATAGAGTTTCTCTTATTAACATAATTATACAGATCTTCAGTATCTTAAAGAACAATATGTAATAGAGGCAAACAAGTTTACCGGTCACTGAAAAGTTTAAGTGGGCTTGAGATCAAAATACGAGCATTGTTTCTTGCCTTACCAGAAAGATCAAATGAAAAACAACCATCAATATTCATGACAAATTTTCGAGCATGACCTTGCAGTAACTATCCTTTACTTATATACTTTATCTATTAAAAAAATCAGAAGAAACAAAACAATACCGCACATTGGTTTTTAAAGGTGCTTAAAAAATACTTCCTCCGTTTTCTTTTAGATGCAACACACACTTTTTCACGGTATTTAAGAAATATGAGATTCACATGATATAATACATTTTAAAATGGGATGAGTGATTGTTAGGAGTGTAATTTAGTGGAACATGTGCTTTAAATAAGGGAAATAGTATAGTTTTTCCCTAAATTAACTTTCCTTTTATAGTGTGTTGCAAGTATTGTGACATTTCCTTTTTAGGGAAGTGTTGCAAGTAAAAGAAAACGGAGGAAGTAGAAATTAAGGAAAGAGGGAGGTTGTGGTTTATAGTTTGGTTTAATTGGTTTAACTAGAAATAGCTCCTTAGTTTGGTTAACTAGTGATGAACTGCTGTAGACATTCAATAAATCAAAGACTTACTTAGGAGTTTTGCATTTGTTTTCAAGTTTAAACCAACATTTGTTGTTTTGAAATAAAAGCAAAATAAGAATTTTACACAGAAAAATTGTGGTCATCACTTCCTTTCCTTTTTTGCTCTACTATATTCCCAAACTTTTATTCTTAACACATGGCCTCTATGCTCATTGCTCACATTAATTAAAATTGTAAGCTAGTTTTCTATTTTGTAAATAAAACAAGACAAATAGATAGTCAACCAATTAGATTACCACAAGCAAAGACTTATTCGAGGACCAATAATAACTGCGACTACAGAAAGTTGTTTAGTAGTTAAGTTTTCTTCAGTGCAGATTGTGCTACCTGCAAATGGGGAAGAAAGAAAATAATAAGCAAATTACCATGTGTAGACACCCATTTGTGTCTCCCCAAAACCAAACCCAGTGATGAGTGTCTTTCACGTCGA